AACAGAACAGGCAGACTGACAAAGTACACTGCTGACGGGAGCAGTGGACGGCATCAGAGGTCTGCGCACCATGTGGGACCCTTGCCGGCAGCCAGAGATCTAACTGGTACTGCAGAGGGTGCAGGCAGCTTCGCAGCCCAGCGCTCAACCGCTGCGCCACTGCAGATGCAGTATTCTCAGCCATTTTATACAGTATATTTTTTGACCTTTTCTTATATGCTTTAATTCCTCTCTCCTTTCTTGTTGGTGATTTCCCTCCACTTTCACACATTTGGATGTTAATGGAGGTATATTGGTTTGTAATATTATTTACAAACATTGTAAAGCATTGTCATCCAACCTATGTACACATCACATCAGTCTCTGTTTTCATTTCTTTTCCATGTATTTTACGGTATCTTTTTTCTCCTGGGGATTCCATAGCATGTTGAAAAGTTATGACAGTCTTTCCTAAAGTGAAAACCATGTAAATTCAGCTGCATACCAAAACTCCACTCTTTAACATTTCGACCCCTACTGACATCACAAATTATATTTCATGATATTTGTATTCTCTAACATGAATCTATGATTTTTTTTTGGTGTCATATTTCCAAATTCTGAAGCAGAAACAATATTTTGACTCTAGGGTTATATCTGTATTTGCTGTGTATTTACCTTTCCCTAAGGATGTTACCTATGCATAAGCCTGTGTGTTGCTGTCTCGTGCTGATGTTACCTATCCAGACATCATGTTGGGGGTCTTTATATGGTATTCATTTTATGTCTGAAATATTTAAAGTATTTTGTCTTGAGTGCTGTGCGTGGGCTAGTTATTCCTCGTTGTCTTCCTGCTCTGTCTTCTCAAGACCACCAGGTCTCCATGCCACAGTCAGGTACAGAAGATTTGTTGCTAACTGTGGGACCGGGAAGAGATGTAATCGGCACCTTTGAGAATTTAGAATTATTGAAAGACCAGACATGTCAAGATACATGTGAAGGGCACAACAGTTGTTGCAATGAAGATTCCCAATAAGGAACAATTATCCATAACACACTTCCTCCTGTACAAAGTGATCCTGCGTGTAAACCATGTTGGGTCAAACTCCATTTTATGTCTGTTGCAGGAAGAGATAAATATGTTTCTGTTAGCAAAGATCCATGTGACATTTTTAATAAGACACAATCTCTGAGAAGAATGTGGGAACATATGGGAAGTCCCCTATTCCATAATGCAAATGATTATTCAAAACATTGTCAATGTGGGATAGATTTAAACTTTCAGTCATGTCATTGTCAACATCAGAGAATTGGAAAGGAAGATGAAAAAAATCTACACAGGATCCTATTGAGGAGCCCTCAATACTTTTCTAGCATCATGTACTTCATGAGAAACTCTACAATTGTAAAGGATATGGCAAAGCTACTAAATCGTGCCCAAGACTCACTGAACATCAGAGAAGGAAACCTCAGAAGTATGAAGAGCATGGTAAAGCCTTGTATTGGCATCCACAGCTGACTAACCATCTAAGGATTCATGCTGGAGAAAAGCCTACAGGCATCCTGACTGTAGTAACACCTTCCTGTGCTGTGTCACCTTTCCTGATTGGAGAGTTCATACTGGGGAGAAACCTTACAGATGTGAGGAATGTGGAAAAGTCTTTAACCAACTGTCAGCCTTTAACGATCTTAGTCAGCATCACAGAATTCATACTGAGGAGAAACCTTACAATTGTGAAGATTGTGGCAAAGCCTTTAACAATAAGTCATGTCTTACTCGGCATCATAGAATTCATACTGGGGAGAAACCTTGGAGATGTGAAGAATATAGGCAAAACCATCTACCATCCATCACTTTTAAGTCAACATCACAGAATTCATACTGGGGAGAAACTTTACAAATGTGAAGAATGTGGCAAAGCCTTTCACCGCAAGTCAAGTATTACTCTACACTAGAGAATTCTCATCAGAGAGAAATGTTAAAATTGCGAAGTCAGGGGGCCTCCCCGGTGGCGCAGCGGTTGAGCGCTGGGTTGCGAAGCTGCCTGCAGCCTCTGCAGCGCCGGTTCGATCCCCGGCTGCTCCCCGGCCAACCCCAGGAGGGTCCCACATGGCGCGCAGACCTCTCCTGCCGCCCGCTGCTCCCCTCAGCAGTGTGCCTCGGTTCTTCTGTCTGCTCTGCTCCCCACTCTGGCTCTGGTGAATTCTCTAACCCTCCCGCACTTCTGACTGTACCCAGTGCTAGTATAAATATATAAATAAACAAACAAACAAAAAAAAAAAAAACAAGAGTTAAAAAAAAAAAATTGCGAAGTCAATTTTTTCACTTTAGTGTCTTTTATTCAAGATTTATTTTATTATGCATGCAAGAACTGGGGTATCTTCCAGAGGTGGGGGTGTGTGAGAGGATTCATCAGAGATAGAGTGGGGAACAGAACAGGCGATTGACTGAAATACACTGCTGAGGGGAGCAGCAGGCGAGACAGGAGGGGTCTGCTGCACCATGTGGGTAGCTCCCTGACCGGGAATCCAGCTTGTACTGCAGTGGCTGCATATAGAATCATAGGTTGTGTCTTAACCCCTTGTGCCACCAGTAAGGTCCCAACTTTGGTGTCTTTAACCAGAAGTTTAACCATAAGTGTCAAAATGATTAACCAGAAGTCAGATCATAGTAAACATCAGAGAGTGTAAAGCTGGAGTAACTGTAAATGGAAAGTGATGAGTGGTTTGTCCAAATATGAATTTTGAAACCACCAGATTTTCATACTGGAAACTTGAAAGAAGTGAAAATATGATTAAATAATTTATCATGCAATTTAGATTCATATTAAGATATTGCAAGACCGTAGGAAGTGAGAAACACTTTACATTCCTTAAGTCAGAAAATTGTTATGGAGCATAAGCCAACATGAAAACACTAAATATTAGCATAATTGAAAAGTCTGAGGGCCTTCCTGGTGGTGCAGAGAGTTAAGTCACAGCTCTATGAAGCTGTCAGCAGCCACTGCAACATGATTTGGTCCCTGGCCAGGGAGCTGACCACATGGAACAGCAGACCTCTCCTGACTTACCTGCTGCTCCCCTCAGCAGTGTGTTTCAGTCAATCTGCTTGTTCTGCTCTACACTCTGTCTTTGGGGAATCCTCTCACCCCCTATACTTCTGGCCTACCCCTTGGTTCTTGCATGCATAAATAAATAAAATCAATCTTTAAAAAAATATATGAGTTCAAGACAATGATTTGGGGACCTGTATAGTTATTTTCTTTGTCCTTTTTCTATCAACCATACTTGAGATATTGTGAAGAGACCTGATGAATATAATTCAGCCCTAAATCACTTCACTCTATGGCTTTCTCCTGGTATGTACATGGAGTCATGTATTTGACTTTCGTGCTTCAAACATCTAAGAGACCCTTTCCAGATGATGAGTTTCTTTACATCTTAATTGCTTCAGTACATTTATGATGGTGTCATGTATCATGGATGAAGAAAATCTAAATGGATATACTGGTTGTGGCTGACTGAAAAGATTGATCTCAATCACCCAGAGGAGTCGTGGACTTCATTGTGGGTATAAAAGTTAGGCAGAGAAACGTGCTGAAGTTCAACTCATTTCATTATCTCCTTCAGGAAATACACTAATAGTTTATTAATATCCTCATGTGTCTTCATGGTAGTAATGGAGCCATGAATATTATTGGACGTTGTTGCCAAAAGAAATCCTCACAAGCATGTGATGAAAGAGCAGGTGAGCTTTTCATAACAGCGTGGATTTCTTGTGCATTCACATTAGCTAAGCACAGCATCTTTCTGTTGAAACCGACTCTGTGATCCAGATATCAGGAGGTCAAGATGCTTCTTAAATACCTGAATCTTTATTTTGATGAAATGTGTCTTGGTATCTGAGTGTCTTATTTAGACTATATGTGAACTTCTTATGTATATTTTTTAAATTAATTCATACAAGACCTGGGGTGCAGGCCAAAGGGGTGTCTGTGTGTGTGTGTGAGAGAGAGAGCGATGGGGAGGATTCACCAGAGACAGAGTGGGGCGCAGAACAGGCAGACAGAGAGGAATACACTGCTGAGGGGAGCAGCAGGCAGGACAGGAGAGGTCAGCCCTGCCCTGTGGGTCGCTCCCTGCTGTGGAGGGGGCGGACAGCTTCTGAGTCAGCGCGGTGCTTAACCCCTTCAGCCCCCGGGCGGCCCTGTTGAGCTCTCTTCCCTCAGAACCCTGAACCCGTTATGGGCCCCGCAGTTTTCACGGGCCTCGCCCTCCCGCCAGTTCTCCTCAACCTCCAGGACTCCCACTTCCAGGCCGCATCTCCACCGCAAGTACGGCCCGACGGGCTGCGCAGGGCATTGTGGGAAATGTAGTCTCGCGTCGCCGTGGTTCCCGCGGAGGTTTCTGGGCGGGGCTTCCGCGATCTGCGCGTCCGGAAGTTTCGGCGTCTCCGGAGCGCTGCGGCGCCCTGAGGTGAGCGCGGGGTTTGTCCCGGGAGGCCGGGCTCGGGGGAGCCGGGGGCGCGGGCGAGCGGGGCCCCGGCCCGTGGAGTCGGGCGCTTTGGAGGCGATTCCCGCCGGGGCGCGCGGGGGGCGGGGGCGGAGGCCGTTGGGGAGAACGTCCCGGCCTTTGTGGGTTTCCCCGGCGCGGCCGCCCGGCCCTGTCCCCGGACGCTGCCGGGGTCTTCCCGGGGCGGGGGACGGGGTCCCCGAGGCGGGGGCTTGGGGAAGCGCGGGTCCGCCTGTGCGCATGCGCGCTGACTCCTCTGACCCCCCGAAAGTCGGGCGGTGAGGGAGGGGAGAGCCCGGCGGCGTTTCTCGGGTTGGGGGGGCCTGGGCGAGATTCGCGCACCCGAGGTGGGGCGGGAGAGGCCCGCGGGTTGCCCGGGGAGGCGGCCCTGTGTCGGGAAACTGGGTTTGCAGGGCGGGGGGTGGGGGGAGTTCCTGGGGCGTTAGAGGCTTGTGGACTGAATTTCCGGGCCCGCTGCTTGTTCCCCCCAGGCGGCGTCCTGCTGGCCGCTGCATTCCCGCCTCCCGCCTGCACCTGCGCACCCAGGGGACGCGGCGCTGTCGGGCGTCCACGGAGCGGAGGGCGGGAAGGGCGCGGAGCCACCGCCGGGGTGTCCTGGCAGAACAGTGCGTTCGGGGCGTCGTCTCGCTGGAAGTGGAGTCCACACTCTGCAGCGACTCCTCAGCTCTGAGACGGTTGCTCCTGCGTGACCGTGGCGCAGGCAGTGGGCAGTGTCACCTTTTACTAAGTTGTGGTGAACCGTCCGCCCAGGCTCTGCCGCGCGTGGACTCGGGGCCCTTCCTGCCCTGCTAGAAGTGCCACCCGCTGCCACACGCGGTGACTCTCTGGTGTCTCCAGGCAGCGTGTGGCGGGCTCTGGCCAGGAGACTCCCGGACCCGGGCAGCCGCCTCCGTCCTCTGTGCTGGACCCCAGCGCCCCCCAGCGCCGCTCCCGAGCCCTGGCGCGTCTGTGAGAGCAGCGACCATGGACGAATCTCTGGTGAGTGGCGTGTTGGCTTCAGCTCGCGGTGCATTGACTATGCGAGTTCATCACGGACATGCACATTAGAAACATAGTTTTCTGCAGGGACACATTCCTCCCCAGGGAAAGGTGTGGCGTAGGTCCAGGCCCTTCCCATGTCCAGCGTGCGTGGAGATGGGGCTCTGCCCTGGTGCTCCCGCAGCGCAGAGTCTGTACCTGGGTCTCCGTTGATGACGCTGAAGGTGTGGCCTGTGGCTCTTCACCCCGCTGGACAGAAACACTTCCCAGCTCTGCGCTGGCAGGTGCGGGGTGAGGAAGGAGGAAGAGGATGGGCCTGAGGACCCGAGTGCAGGTGGGGGTGAAGGAGCCACTTGTCATTTGAAAAGGACAACTGAATTTTTAAGGCTTCTGTGCAGTTGCTGAAATCCTATAGTGTGTCCCAGGCCGCTCTCGGAGACTTTCATGCAGGCGTCAGTCTTGGCACGTCTGACGTTGCGTCCAGTGGGGCGTCCTTATATCCCTGCCCCTGCTCTTCTCTCAGATGGTCTGCAAACCCCAGGTGCCCAGCAGGCTCTTCAGAGTCCTTTTACCTGGCGGTTGTTTGCACTGCTCCTGCGCATTTCTCCTTGGTGTGGTCTGCATGCATTTCTAGTGACGCTTCCCAGCACCCTAAGTTGTTCCCCAGTCCAGTGACACTCTCCAGCCTTTGCCTTCCCCAAAGTTCCTGCCATGTTTGAGAACACCGTGTGTGACCTTGGGGAAATTCCGTTTTTTATAATTGTTTTAAAGTTTCTTATACTTTTTTCTATATTTTTTAATTATTTTCCCTCCTCAATCTGTCATTGACATGTGGAGCACTAAAGCCTTCTGCTGAAAGAGTTGCCAGTTTTTTCCTAGACTCCTAATGGGTTTTGCCCTACCCCATGTTTTTCCCTCTACCTAACCACCGTGGCCCATCCCCCGTCTGCCTCCCTCCCTACCTTCTCCATCCTTTCCCCTGTTCCCTCTGGTGGTCATCTTTACCTTCACATGACCCATCTGCACCCCGGCCACTGGAGAAGGGTCCCACATGACACGCAGGCCTCTGCTATAGCCCTCTGCTCCCCTCAGCAGTGCACTTTGGTCCTTCTGCCTGCTCTGCTCCCTGCTCACGGCAACCTGCATGGGGCTTTACTCACTTCTGTCAACACCCTCCTGTTGAGCAGGAAGACACACTCACATTCCTCTGGAAGGTTAGTGAGAGAGAGAGCTGCAAGTAGGAGTTGATTTTTCTTTCCCTTCCGGAACAAATACCGCTCAACTCCTTTAGCAGTTGACTTCCTAAGTAGACTTTGAGTGTAGGTGATGCAACAAGCCTCAGACCTAGGATTTTCAAAATGTCCTTGGCCAGTTATTACCAATGACTGTCAAATGTGTTCTTGGTGGTCTGGGTGTATCCCATGGGAAAACGCCTTTTCTCAGGGAGTGGAGCTTTTACAGTTCATTTGTGACTTCGATTTTAGCTGTATGTTGAATTCATACCTTTCTCCGCTCTTAACTATCTTGTGTCATAGCAGAAGCTGTTGAATGTGGTCTGGGCTCATACATTAGGTGTCTGATGTGATTGTCTTTATTCTGGTGGGTTGGGCCTGGAAGGGGTCGCTTCAGCCGTGGCCAGTGATATCCTGGGTAGAAAGTGAATCCATTGGCCCTGGGTTCTGTCCAGCATATTCAGTTCCTTCATTTTACATTCTAGGGAGGTGAATGATGGTCAAGGTTACAGTACTTCTTAGTGGTACCACTTGTCACCCAGATTTCTAAGTCACACTGCGCTCATACCAGGATTTGGGGGCTCTCTGATAGGAAGAGGGAAGCTCAGAGATGAAGTGACTTGTCTGAGGTCCTGGCTGGTTGGTGTACGAGTTGCAGCTAGGACTCAGACTTGCTGTGGACTGTATTCCCTGAGCTGTTGTAGCTGACTGAATGTTTTTAGAATCTCAATTATGGCTGGGCTGTACCAAAAAAACTAGCTGTTTAAAGTTTCCCATTGTGATTGTAAGGTGAACAGTTCTCTCTGCTTTGTCTTATAGTAGGTGAGAACAGGGACACCAATTGAGATGTTTACTTTTTGGATTTCCTGAGGCCAGCTCTCCTTAGGTTGCCCCCACCCCAATCCTAGATCCAGAGCTAGGGCTCCACTAGCTGAGGACTCTGCTAGAAAACCAAACGTATATGACAGGGTTAAGGCATGTATACTAGGTATTTTGAAGTTATTTATCAAGGGGAAAGATGTGTGTTATAAAGTAAACAGAGTATGTATTTTATATATAATGCGGATAGCAAGAATAGCATTCTCATTATACACAAGTTTCCTTTACCCTTTTATTATCAAAGCAAAAAAAAAAAAAAAAGAGGAGGGTAAATGCAGCTGTTCCCAGGGTTGTGAAGGCCAGGACACCCTCAGGAGAGGCACTCCCCGGCCCTGGGGTGTGCTCTGTGTTCAGGCCCAGCCCCGCTCTCCCCACTGGCTGGCTCTGCCTCCCCATGGCTTCCTGCTGTCCCCCACGGTCTACATCTCTGGGGTGAAGGGTGAGAATAACCAATAAAGATTGACCAACAGAAGCGATTCTGGCTCTTCTCCTGCTGGGTCGCCTTGGGGCTGTCCTTCGGGAGCCCGCGCTTCATGGGTCGGTGGTGGTATTTAGCGTGTGCGTGGGGTTGTTAGGGGGGAAAGGCTGTCCTAAGGCTAATTCCATACAGGCTTTGTGGACTCCACCCCCACCCCAGGCCAAAGCCATAAGACACTGGGAACTCCACATCCCATCCCCACCAAAGGGAAGGTGGCTGGGACCCGAGGGTGGGGTTCAGCAGCCAGGTGGATATAAAGCCAGACCCGTGGGCTTTGGGGGGGTTCCCCATTTTGGCTCTAGGCCAGCTCGCAGCGTCCTGCCTTTGGGTATCCAGGTCGGCGGATCGGGTAGGACGCATTTAAGACTTTATTTCCCTATTTTCTCCCTGAGTTGTCCATTTTCCTTATTTCCTTTCCCCTTGTAAGTAAACCTTTCATTAACCTTCTGTGTGTGTCTGCAGTGGAGTATTAATGGGTCCCTTTTAAGCGTGCGGGTGAGGACCCACAGCCAGGCAACCCATTCAGTATCGGGGCTGCCCTATAACAGGGTGGTGTGCGTATGTGAGCATAGGTGCGTGTAGTTCGTGTATGGTTGGGTTTGCGGGCTGCCGCGCAACCCTGCCATTAGAGTCTGGCGGTGTACCCAGAGTCCCTCCTTACCTTCGGCCTGGTTCAAATCCCAGTCAGCGGGTCAATGGAAACACTAAGTCTACGTGGGCTGCGTTTATGGTGGGCGTCGGTCCTCTCCAGGGACTAACTTCCTGGCAGCCGTCAGTGTTCGATCCCACTCCTCAGTGGTGAGGAGAACCTGGGAGAGCTGCTGGCGGTCATCCCAGGTGGGCTGATGAGTAAACAGAACAGTCTCTAGGAGATTAACAAGGTCTCTAGGGTTGTCAGAGAAACGTGCCTTTTGCACTCTCCAGCTGTAGAGATCACTGGTCGCGAACTTCCAGTCGTGCATAGGCTGGTTGCCCTGCTCATTTGGGGACCCTGCCCCGTGCAGGGGCTGGGGTGTGGAGTCCGGGGAATTCACCCTCTCCCAGTGGGTGCCTGCAGCCTGACCCTGCCCGTGAGCCCCGCCCGCCTCCAGGGGAGGTTGTTCCTAGGACAGTGGTTGGGGAGGATTGTTAGGAGGGTTGTGATAGGGCGGTGGAAAAAGAAGTTCCTCTGGAGGAGAGTCCTGAAAAACCGCAGGTGGCGAGGAAGTGTTGGGATGGGACCCAAGCAGTTTAGCCGGCAGTCCAGGTTGTGCCTGTAATGACAAAAATGGCTTTAACCAAGTAGGGGGGTTCTGGACTCGATCTTGCCAGACCAAGATATAAGGGAGTTGGTCAGATATCCGAGTCTTCCTTTACAGATGACAGCTTCCTTCACACGACGGACAACCTGTAAATCGAAAGTTCCCTCTGGGGGCCAACCAACTCCGCTTGTGGCCACTCTGAGGAACAAAAAGTGGTTAAAGATGACTTTTTTTATTTCTGTACTGAGGTCCGACCCCCTGGACCTGACATCTTTAATTATTTTTTTTTTTTATTATTATTATTATTTTTTTTTTTTATAGAGGCATGTTTATTTCTTTATTTATTTGTTTTGTTTGTTTGTTCTATTTACACATGCACTAGGTACAGTCAGAAGCGCGGGAGGGTGAGAGAATTCACCAGAGCCAGAGCGGGGAGCAGAGCAGGCAGAAGGACCGAAGTACACTGCTGAGGGGAGCAGCGGGCGGCAGGAGAGGTCTGCGCGCCATGTGGAACCCTCCTCAGGTGGCCGGGGAGCAGCCGGGGATCGAACCGGCGCCGCAGAGGCCGCGGGCAGCTTCGTAACCCAGCGCTCAACCGCTGCGCCACCGGGGAGGCCCTGGACCTGACATCTTTAAAATGCTGTAAAACCACAGATAATGGGGTAGATGGCGATTGACCCATGATGACAAATACTAGAATCACAGTAACAACTGACCCAAAAAACAGACCAAAAATCAACTTTTCAAAAGGCCCCGCAAAGGGGAATCTGCTCCCCCACATAGGCTGAGGGTTTTCTACCAGGTGGTCGGGTGACGTCGCCCGCGGTCCACGCCAGGGGCCTGCCAGCGCGTCTGCTTAAGCCCTCTGGTGACCAAAATCACAGGTTTGCAAACAATTACAGCTCCACAAACAATACACATACAGGTACTCAGTACTACAGGTCTGCAGACTAACACCTCACCTGGGCGAGTGTTGACACCCGCCTGCGCGCTTTGAGACTCCTTTCGGTTGCTAGGTAGTTGGGGTCTGCCCTCGTCGATCCCGGACGAGCCCCCAAAATGTTGTGCCCAGCGTCGACCAGCGCAGCCCCCAAGGGCACACAGACAGCCGCTGCAAGAGCATAAAGGAGTTTATTACGGGCTTGAGTCCAGGCCCACGACTCGCACCGA